TCAAAAAAAACCAAATAAATAAAAATGAAGTCTTGTCAGAAGAGGTCTTGGACACACTGTCTTTGGGTGAAGAAATGAATTCTATTATTTTTATAATCAGGCAATGGTAGAATCATAAAATGATTGGACTGTTAGACATCTTAAAGACGCCCAGGACCCAGCACTTTGGGAGGCTGAGGGGGGTGGATCACGAGGTCAAGAGATCGAGACCATGGTGAAACCCCGTCTCTACTAAAAATACAAAAATCATCTGGGCATGGTGGCGCATGCCTGTAATCCCAGGTACTCAGAAGGCTGAGGCAGGAGAATTGCTTGAACCCAGGAGGCGGAGGTTGTGGTGAGCTGAGATTGCGCCATTGCACTCCAGCCTGGGTAACAAGAGTGAAACTCTGGCTCAAAAAAAAAAAAAAAAAAAAAGACTCCCAGGATTGATAAGAAAACTAAAGCAACCATGAGTTATGAGTTAGTCATGGTTCTAGAGCTACAAAATAGCAGAATGACTAGAATTCCCATCCATTTGCTTCCGGGTAAATGCCTCTAACCTTTGGCTTTTTTACCCACGCTATACTGGGGCGTGGGTAAAATGTTTCTAGTATAAAATGTTTCTGTATTCCTCAAATCATTTACTCCTCCTCCCTGCATCGCACTAGATATGAAAGTGAATACGTGTTTGGACACTTCTGCCCAAGCATTCACACCCCGCCACTCACAGCTGTGGATTCAGGCTAGTAATCTCATGGGTGTTGTGACGACTGATCTTCCAGAACTGAAGACGTCAAACTGCTGCCGAGGCAAGGCCTCTTAAGCAATACAAAATGTCTGTCCCTTTTTTACAAACTCTTTGGAGATAATGCTTTTTTTTTTTTTTTTTTTTTTTTTTTTTTTTTTTTGAGACAGAGTTTTGCTCTGTCTCCCAGACTGGAGTGCAACGGTGCAATCTCGGCTCACTGCAATCTCTGCCTCCCGTGTTCAAGCGATTCTCCTGGCTCAGCCTCCCGAGTAGCAGGGATTACAGGTGCCTGCCACCACGCCTGACTAATTTTTGTATTTTTAGTAGAGATAGGATTTTCGCCATGTTGATCAGGCTGGTCTCGAACCCCTGACTTGTAAGTGATCCACCTGCCTTGGCCTCTCGAAGTGCTGGGATTACAGGCATGAGTCACCATGCCTGGCCTAACAGCTCTTATAATTAATTCCTTGAAAATCTTTACAAATCTTCACAGGGCACTAACGGCAGCTACAGCTTCTGCTTTTCCCTTCATGTTAAAAGCAACAGGATCAACTATTGACAAAGTTAAGTGCTGGAAGTATAGATCTTTCAGAGAAATACTCAGCCTTATATTCCTGAAACATTTTCCTGCCTCTCTACTTGAGGAAGCTACAGTCTTCTCTTCACCTCCTTTGTCCCTTGGATTAATCAGGAAAACAACCCAAGCCTCCCAGTCTGGTTAGTTAAAGGGATTTAACATTTACAAATTAACTAACATCTTTGTTCATAGAGTGAAATATTTGGCCCTTATTCATGGGATGTCACGCACTAGGAAGCAAGAAATAGATTTCTTGTTAGGGTTGGTGGAAAAGACTTAAAAATTCTGTGTCTGTGTCTGTTCTGCAGAAAACACTGCTGCTCCTGCAGTAAAGAGCCTTAAGATTCTGGAGACTATGAAATGCTCATTCATCCAACCAGCATGGATTGCGCCCACAGCATGCCAGGCCTGGTGCGAGGAACTGGTAACCATGCATGTGGCAAAGTTTCACTCTCATGCAACCTACATTCTTATAAATGGGGTAGCCATAAAATAATCAAATAAGTATAGAAATAAACAAGATACCCTGGAAGTTCTTCATGCTGACTTCCTATAACCTCCAGTCTGCATGTTCTGCAGAGGGCATGAAGGATTCAGGCTATTCTTCTGTTTCCATGTATATACCTAACAAGAATTCAATTACTCTCAGAACTGTTATACCAGATGTAATTACATAGTTCATATAAATATCATAGAAGCCAACAAAATGCCAGTTGTTTCTGGAACGCTAAATTGAATGCTTTGTAAGGACTTTCTTTAAAAATCACTTAAAAGTTATAGAATAGGCCAGGTGTGGTAGCTCACGCCTGTAATCACAGCACTTTGGGAGGCTGAGGCAGGTGGACGACCTGAGGTCAGGAGTTCGAGACCAGCCTGGCCAACATGGTGAAACCCTGATTCTACTAAAAATACGAAAAAAATTAATGAGATGTGGTGGCAGGCCCCTGTAGTCCCAGCTACTCAGGAGGCTGAGGCAGGAGAATCACTTGAATCCCGGAGATGGAGGTTGTCAAGATTGCTCCACTGTGCTCCAGCCTGGGCAACAGAATGAGACTTTGTCTCAAAATAAATAAATAAAATAAAAAGTTCTCACTCCAGTTTAAAGGAACTAAATTGCCACTTAAAAGGTATAATGTATGGATGCCAGTCAGCAGATCCATGCTAATATAATAATGGCTTAAGCGCTGTATCATTTATATTAAACATTGTTATAACAAAACAAAAGGATTACGGTTTCTCTATATCCTCTATATATAATATCTTCTTTTTTTTTCCTTTTTTGAGACAGTGTCTCGTTCTGTCACCAGGCTGAAGTGCAGTAGTGTGATCTTGGCTCACTGCAACATCCGCCTCCCGGGTTTAAGCGACTCTCCTTCAGCCTCCCGAGTAGCTGGGACACAGGTGGGCGCCACCATGCCCAACTACTTTTTGTTTCTTTAGTAGAGACGGGGTTTCACCATGTTGGCCAGGATGGCCTCGATCTCTTGGCTTCGTGATCCCCCTGCCTCAGCCTCCCAAAGTGCTGGGATTACAGGCGTGAGTCACTGCGTCCGGCCAACACATTAGGAGGCTCAAAGACAGAGGTGGCCAGACCTCTTGACTCTTGTAACCCCTCTAATCACCCCTTTTCCTGACCTGACCACAAGATAAGCCTCCTGATTTTCCACACTCCAGACTTTCTTACTTCCCCACAGGACAGAGATGTTGACTTCCTTCACATTTCCCGTTCCTTAGTTTCCTGCCTTTCACATACATCATAACCATAATGTTTCTGTTTCTGGGATATAACAAAGGTGTTAAGTTGGTTTCCTTTGGTCTTCTCTGCTGTGTTTCTTTGCCATCTCTCTGGTTTCTTGTTTCTGCCCTGCCCGGCTGTGTGTCTTGTGCATTCCAGTTATCCCACTCACCTTTCACCTGATTTAAAAAGCTCATTCAGCCCAGGACTTAGAGTGTGAGTGTGGTTAAATAGTGTTAAGTTCACGTAATGTCTGAAACTTTTAGTAGGAAAAATGCTACCTTGCCAGTTTGTCTGTGTCTGAAAGGGGTTTGCATTTAAAAATTTCGCAATTTGACAGAGGCAAATTTAACATTTGAAATATTTTCTTAAATGTAGACAGTTGATTCATCTGCAGCTACAAGGTGAGGGCAGGAAGTGACGATGACCAGAGGTACCTGAATACACTCAGGAAAGTAACTCTAGATCGAGGGTCCCAAACTTTAGGTATCAAAGGATCTCTTGGAGTATTTGCTGAAAAATGTAGGTTCCTTAGTCCACCGTCAGAAACTCTGATTTGGTGGATCAAGAATGGAATAAGAAATACTGAACAATGACCTGATGCAGTGGCTCATGCCTGTCATCCCAGCACTTCGGGAGGCTGAGGCAAGAGGATCACCTCAGGTCAGGAGTTCAAGACTAGCCTGGCCAACATGATGAAATCCCGTCTCTACTAAAAATACAAAAATAATTAGCTGGGTATGGTGGCACGTGCCTGTAATTCCAGATACTTGGGAGGCTGAGTCAGGAGGCTGAGTCAGGAAAATTGAACCTGGGAAGTGGAGGTTGCCGTGGGTTGAGATCCCACCACTGCACTCCAGCCAGGATGATAAAGTGAGATTCTGTGAGAAAGAAAGAAGGAAGGAGAGAAAGAAAGAAAGAGAAAGAAGAAGGAAGGAAGGAAAAGCAAGCAAGAAAGAAAGAGAGAGAGAGAAAGAAAGAGAAAGAAGAAAGAAAGACGCTGAATAAGATATACAGACAATATACAACTGGGCCAGTGAATGGCATCTGATAGTGGGGAGATCTGGGGCTGGGTCTTGAATCTGAAGGTAATCAACTCCCTGTGATTTCTTTTCCTAATCCATAAAAGAAGGATAGTGACAGCGAGACACTGTGTTGGGGTAAATATTTCAGAAAACATCCACATGTTTCTTTCCTTTGCCTTTCGGAGAGTGTCAACTACTTCCGACCTGTCCATTCTAACACAAGGTATATTGTCTTGGTAGGGGAGGGGATCTGAGAAGGAGATTAGAACTTGTGTCTGAAGGTTTACAAAGAGGAAGAAGTCAATATTTAGATTCTGACATTCAAGATGGAGTTACGCAGCAGGACCATTGCTATGAGACAGTATTTCTATTTTCCTTTATCTACTCCCACCTGCTCTCTTCCTGCACCTCACAGTAGCGTGAGAAAAACCAGATATGGAAGTTTCAGGTCATAACAATACTCTTTTTTTTTTTTTTTTTTTTTTTTTTTTTTTTTTTTTTGAGGCGGAGTTTCGCTCTCGTTACCCAGGCTGGAGTGCAATGGCGCGATCTCGGCTCACCGCAACCTCCGCCTCCCGGGTTCAGGCAATTCTCCTGCCTCAGCCTCCTAACAGTTCTCTTACAATTTAGAAAACAGGCTATCGAGCTTAGGGCTCTGCGGTAGAATGAGGATATGTTAGGGAAAATAAAAGAAAATCCCACTCCTCTACGGCTCAGGACTTTATAAAAAGGAGAACAAGAAAGAGGAGAGAGAATGGGGTTGAGATGCGTGCAGAGAAGGGAAGGGGTGCGCGGGCGAGGAGGGGGTCTGCTTTGAGTTCCCTCCTTTCCAACCACCACCTTGAGACAAGTGTTTCTGGAGTCTGCCTGGCTTCAGAGGGATTTGTAGGAAAGGGGAGGGACAGAGGGTGGGGCTTCACCACTGAGTAAAGCAATTCGGCGAACTTTCATTTTCTGCTGACATAAAAGAAACAGAAAGGCGGGCTTCAGTAACCGGCTGCCTGGCTGACTCAGAGCACCCAGACTCCTGCAGGATCACCGCTATGATGGAGAGTCAGGGGGGACCCAGCCCGGGGCAGACCTGTGTGCTGATCCTGATCTTCACAGTGCTCCTGCAGTCCCTCTGTGTGGCCGTAACTTACCTGTACTTCACCAATGAGCTGAAGCAAGTGAGTGCAATGTCGTGCGTTCCGTCTCCGTCTCCGAGGCTCTTAGCAATTGTCTGCTACCCGCCTCTCCTTTGCCTGTCAGCTTGCTTCTCTCTAAGATCCAACTGCTTTCTTTCTCTGTCGGTAGACTCTAACTGCGGACTCGCATAACCACTGAGGACTTCGCCAAAGTGTGAGTTCCAGAAATTGTGTAAACTAAGTGCAGTCACGGAATTGGCTCCATGAGTTACTAGCAGATGCGGGCAACAAAACTCCTGAGGGCTTTTTTGTTTTCAAAAGTATTTGTATTTTATAATATTAGCCATTGCAACTGTTCATGAAAGCTTTCTGCTAAATGCTTTATAGCTCTTTGTTTTCTTTTCCAAACTTTTATTTGTGCACATTTGATTGAAAAAGATAAGTTTTACAAGTTCTTTGGTGCCCATATTCAGCACACAAAAAATGTAAAAGACTATCCACAAATAAAACTGAGGATAAATTAGCTCAAAATGGAAAAAAAAAATACCAATGACAGCAGTAAAACAATCTAACGTAGTGCACACTGTGACAGCTCTGCTTATGGGGACATGAAAATTACTGCAAAAATAAATAGAATGTCCTTTTGTAAAAGCAGCAATGTCATGTCTTGTAAACTTCCTTCTTTATATTACAGCAAGGTTTGGAATAAAATCCAAAGGGACTGGTACTTACCCTGTAGCCATGAATAAATAAAAGTATATTTCCTCATTACGTTTCCTTTTGAGTCCAATGTGCAGCAATCCAAGGTACCCAGTTAGAAATTCTAACCAGCTAAGTGGGGAATTATGAAATTTATTTCCTGCTTTCAAACACAAGTAGTAAATCTGTTCCACAGCAGTAGCAAAGCCTGTAAATTGGGCCTTGCTTCTTTGATACTTTCTGTCGAAAAAATCTGTAACGTAGCTCTTAGAGACTTTATCTGAGAGCACACAGCAGAATGAAGTTCAGGTTCGTAACTCACATGAGGTCTATTGTTCATTGTGAATTCTGGCAAACAGATTTTTTTACTTTTTTATTTTACTTTAAGTTCTGGGATACATGTGCTGAACGTGCGGGTTTGTTACATAGGTATACATGTGCCATGGTGGTTTGCTGCACCCATCAACCTGTCACCTAGGTTTTAAGCCCCTCATGCATTAGGTATTTGTACTAATGCTCTCCTTCCCCTTCTCCTCCATGCCCTGACAGGCCACGGTGAGTGATGTTCCCCTCCCTGTGTACATGTGTTCCCATTGTTCAACGCCTACTTATGACTGAGAACATGGGTGTTGGGTTTTCTGTTCCTGTGTTAGTTTGCTGAGAATGATGGCTTCCAGCTTCATCCACATCCCTGCAAAGGACATGAACTCATCTTTTTTTGTGACTGCATGGTATTCTATGGTGTATAGGTACCACATTTTCTTTATCCAGTCTATCATTGATGGTCATTGGGTTGGTTCCAGGTCTTTGCTGTCGTAAATAGTGCTGCAATAAACATACGTGTGCATGTGTCTCTATAGTAGAATGATTTCTAATCCTTTGGATATATACTCAGTAATGGGATTGCTGGGTCAAATAATATTTCTGAGTCTAATCCTTGAGGAAGCTCCACACTGTCTTCCACAATGGTTGAACTAATTTACACTCCCACCAACAGGTGTAAAAGTGTTCCTATTTCTCCACATCCTTTCCAGCATCTGTTGTCTCCAGATTTTTTAATGATTACCATTCTAACTGGCGTGAGATGGTACCTCATTGTGGTTTTGATTTGTGTTTCTCTAATGACCAGTGATGATGAGCATTTTTTCATATGTTCGTTGGTCCCATAAATGTCTTCTTTTGAGAAGTGTCTGTTCATATCCTTTGCCCACTTTTTGATTTGGTTGTTTTTTACTTATAAATTTAAGTCCCTTGTAGATCTTGGATATTACACCTTTGTCAGATGGGTAGATTGCAAAAAATGTCTCCCATTCTGTAGGTTGCTTGTTCACTCTGATGATAGTTTCTTTTGCTGTGCTGAAGCTCTTTAGTTTAATTAGATCCCATTTGTCAATTTTGGCTTTTGTTGCCATTGCTTTTGGTGTTTTAGTCATGAAGTCTTTCCCCAGACCTGTGTCCTGAATGGTATTGTCTAGGTTTTCTTCTAGGGTTTTTATGGTTTTAGGTTTTGCATGTAAGTCTTTAATCCATCCTGAGTTAATTTTTGTAGAAGCTGTAAGGAAGGGGTCCAGCTTCTGTTCTCTGCATATGGCTAGCCAGTTTTCCCAGCATCAATTATTAAGCAGGGATTCCTTTCCCCATTGCTTGTTTTTTTGCCAGGTTGTCAAAGAGCAGATGGTTGGTGTTATTTCTGAGGTCTCTGTTCTGTTCTGTTGGTCTATATCTCTGTTTTGGTATCAGTACCATGCTGTTATGGTTACTGTAGCCTTGGAGTGTAGTTTGAAGTCAGGTAGCGTGATGCCTCCAGCTTTGGTCTTTTTGCTTAAGATGGTCTTGGCTGTATAGGCCCTTTTTTGGTTCCATATGAAATTTAAAGTAGTTTTTTTTCTAATTCTGTGAAGAAAGTCAATGCTAGCTTGATGGGAATAGCATTGGATCTATAAATTACTTTGGGGTAGTATGGCCATTTTCACAATATTGACCTAACCATGAGCATGGAATTTCTTCCCATCTGTGTGTCCTCTCTTATTTCCTTGAGCAGCAATTTGTAGTTCTCCTTGAAGAGGTCCTTCACATCCCTTGTGAGTTGTTTTCACAGGTATTTTATTCTCTTTGTAGCAATTGTGAATTGAAGTTCACTCACCATTTGGCTCTCTGCTTGTGTATTATGGGTGTATAGGAATGCTTATGATTTTTGCACATTGATTTTGTATCCTGAGACTTTGCTGAAGTTGCTTATTGGCTTAAGGAGTTTTGGGCTAAGAGAATGGAGTTTTCAAAATATACAATTATGGTCATCTGCAAACAGGGACAATCTGACTTTCTCTCTTCCTATTTTAATACCTTTATTTCTTTCTCTTGCATGACTGCCCTGGCAAATGGATTTCAAATGGCGTGTTACACACTGCCAAAACGTAACAACCTTCAAGTCTGTAAATATTACCTGAAAACCTGGTTTCTGCAGACTGCAGACTACATGTCTGGCACCAAATTTAGCTTCTTCTTCACTTGTTGCTCCAGTGCAAATAATTTTTCCTGAGGAAACTCCATGAAACTCCCACCCCAGCCCGTTGCTAGGAGCCCCCAGGCTCCGGCTTGGTCTTCCCTGCTTTATTGTCCTGGATGCAAGTTACAGTTCTTGACTCATGAATTCTTGGGGACCAGGGTGGCTGTATCAGAGCTGGGTCTGCTTCCACTCACCAGTATAACTCTGGATCTACCATATGGCTCCCAAGTAGCCACTAATACTAATACTTGTGGTTCACTAAAAACTTGCTGAATGAATGCACAGCCTTCACTCAATATGAAGTATGGTAGGTATTGCGAATATGCAGGCAACAAGGGTCGAGTTAGGCTCAACCCAAAGCCAGGCTCTAAATCACTGAACACTCCTGCTGTGTGTTCCAGATGTAGTTAGTCTTGGTGAACTTTTGGACCTTTGACATGTTTTGCTGTGTTGACAATAACTGAGAATACAAAGGACTGGCATTCTGCCAACTCCTGGGGCACTGGCATGTCATCGGTAGAATCTGTAATAAAGAAGTTATCAGAGAAATACAGCTGTTCATGATAAAACAATGGAACAAAAAATTACCACTCTCTGCCTGTGAATGGGTCATTTACAAATCGAGGTATCTTTGGCAAAAAAGAAAACACTTAGTGTCATTTTAATTTATGATTTTCTCAATGAAAATTCCGTGGAATTATGACTGCAAAGTTGCTGAAAATAAGCCAACTCAGTTGTTGACTTCTAATATATATTTTAACCAATTGTATATTAAATAGTAGAGAATTTAGGAGCTACAAGGAACTTCAGATCCCCTCACCCCCCCCACACCCACTCCCACCCTCCACCACCTTTTTACAGATGAGGAGACAAGAAATAATATACTCAGCTTCAGACAAGGCTTTGGAGGCAGCGCTGGAGCAGCCAGAGCCCAGGTCTGTAGGCTTCTCCCTCCACAGCAGGATGGCCACAGTATTAACCTGTTTGCACCTTATGAGGTACAATGAATGCACAGCGCATCCTGCAGCATCAACTCTGGAGCTCACTAGCAAATGAAAGGCTAAGCATCTCAGAAAAGTATAAATTGTGCAAAAGATGTAGAGTGTTAACTATTTGCTAGGGAAATGCAGTTTGCATATCCTGTGGAGTGTAAATTTGGTTATCTCAATCAGTTAGAAATTTTTCTTTTGGAAATGGATGAGGCAGATTCTTGTTTGATTTGCAAGTAATTATGAAAATTATGGCTACCATTAGATGACCAGTAAAGTCAGGTGTATTGTAGGGCACATTTAGAAAAGACTTTTTTTTTTGTAAGAAAAAAATATTCATAAAACTATAATCATACCTTTAGCTTTAAGTCTACATGAGAGATGGGAACACTGCTATGTTCACCACTGTGAAGCCAGAATATCCTCACCTTTCTTAACTTTGCAGCATAAACAGAGCAAAGCTGTTACTTAATACACAAGTAGCTCCATCAATATGCTCACATTACAAGTTGGACTAATTTTAAGATTGAATCAACCAGTTCTTTGCTGAACTGACTCATGCAATTGTCTGTGTATATAATCAAATTTCTTTTTCAATTCTACTATAAAAATGGAAATTTCATATAAGGCTTAGGATCTTCCCACTTGCACACGTTTTTCTTAATTGCATATTGATATATGAATACATGTACGTTAGGCATGCAGAAGAATTCCTTGAGAGTGCTAGAAGGCTGGGATAATTATAGTATTGAGTGCCAGGAACTTTGAAAGGTATTGCCTTGTTTCAATTCTCAGAACAATTATATAACCTAAGGATAATTACCCCGTATTATAGATGAACAAATGAAGGCTTCGGTGAAGTTAAGAGATTTGTCTAAGATTACAAAACTAGTAAAAGGTAAAGCCTGATTTTGAACCTAAGTGTGAAGGAGGTACTCAATACATTGAAGCACCTACTTTTTTTTTTAACAATACATTTTTTAAATACAATACAATGCTTTTCTTTTTATAGTAGCATTGTAATTACTGCTGAAAAGTCTCCTGAAAGGTCACTTTCTTCATCAGATATTTTCCAAGGGAAAGTAAATCTGAATCTTCTGTGTAGACTTTGGAAAAGTACATTCGACATAAGTATTAACTTTTGAAAATCGAACACAGGCTTCATTTCAGCTGGTGAAAATTTGCAGAAGATACAGTCTGCAAGGATTATAGGGTGCAAAGGTTAAGGAAGGCTTTATAACATCGGATTGGACCTTTATAAATAAGCCTGTCGACCCGCAAACATGATCAACCAGTATGGGCTGAGCCCCTGAAGTCTGTGTCCCTCTGAGAAAGTTTTATGACTAAGGAATGGCCTATCACTGTGGCATCATAGATGGGGAAGAAAAAGTAGAAGGGCTTCCTCCCCATACATCTCCATAAATGAATCTTTATGCTATTTGTAGTTTGCAGAAAATGATTGTCAGAGACTAATGTCTGGGCAGCAGGGACGGTCAGTGCTGCCATCTTGTCTGTCGGGCTGATTCTACCCTGCTGAGCTCAAGCCCCATCAAGGACTGGTTGGCCCTGGCCTAGCCAACCACCATGTTTGTAACAGCTCCAAGAGCAGTCACCATGGAAATCCACTTTTCAGAACCAAGAGCTTCTGGAGCTGAAGAACAGGCACTCAGTGCAAGAGCTTTCTTTTCAAAGGCACGCAAGTGAAAATAATCCATCTACACAATCTTCTGCCCCCAGTGCCCAGGCGTGGTTAGTTAGAGAGTAGGCCTCAGCCTATGATATGCCACAGGAAATTGATAGTTTGAAGTGGAAAGGATGGGAGGAGGCAGGTGGAGGCATATCAGGCTAATCATCATTCTTAGAATTACCACAGCACCTCATGTCAACCCGACCATCTGCCTAGTCACCAGCATTGGCCAAGTTCTATAGAAAAAACTACTAACGAACATGATGCAAGAAACGTGAGGGTGGAGAAGGTGACTGGGGCTTCCCCTCTGGATTTCTATTGTTCAGAAATCAATATTTATGCATAAATAGGTCTAGAAAGAGAAACACCGAAATGACAATGTGAGCTCTAGATGGTATGATTATGGGTGCTTTTTACTCCTTTTTATTTTTCTATATTTTACAAATTTTCTGCAGGGAATGTCATACAAATATCCATGCCATACGTGTATAATTTTCATACAGATTTAAAGAATACAGCATTTTTATATAGTCTTACGAGAAAACAACCATACTCAAAATTGTGCACACACATGCAGTCTGATCTTGCCCCTGTAAACAAGAGACATCCTCCAAAGGTTAACTAGGAAGTGGGAGTATACCTGCTATTAGTGGTTGTTTTGATTTTGTTTTTGTGATTTACTTATTAATTTTTGGAGGTTTTTTTTTAACTTTTGGAAATGTGTTCTTTATTTTATTTTATTTTTATTTTTATTTTTATATTTTGAGACGGAGTTTCGCTCTTGTTGCCCAGGCTGGAGTGCAATGGTGCGATCTCGGCTCACCACAACCTCCACCTCCTGGGTTCAGGCAATTCTCTGGCCTCAGCCTCCTGAGTAGCTGGGATTACAGGCATGCGCCACCATGCCCAGCTAATTTTTTTTTTTTTTTTTTTTTTTTTTTTTTTAGTAGAGACTGGGCTTCACCGTGTTGACCAGGATGGTCTCGATCTCTTGACCTCATGCTTCCCAGTTTGCCTGTGTATCCTGATTGTATCCAGGCTTTATGAACTCCTGGGTAATCATGTAACTACATTAGCTTGTCAATCACCCATCCGCTCATACCTGGGATCTACTCAATTCTCCAGATTCCCCCCACCTCCTCCAGAAAGTATTTCTGGGAAATACTCAGACGGTATTACAGGCTCTAGATAGCAATTTGTACTCACCTGGGCTAGTCCCTGTGGCTCAAGCTCCACCACCACCACCCAAGTCAAACTCCACCTCAGCTGAAAAGTTGTTGCCTGCCACATTACCGCCTGATCACAGGCAGCTGTCAACTCTGTACCTTGCCTCGTATGGCTGGAGCCTCCCATCTTCAGCCGTTTCCTGCTGAGATACCTTAACAGCTGCTGTAAGGTGAAAAGGCATATTGCTTCCTCCTTTCTAGTACATGCACACTTTTTGCCCCAACATGTTACAGAGATTTGTGAGCTTGCTTGTTCAGTGTAATCAAACCAAAGCTTAGCCAGAGCACACTCACACTTTGGGTGGGTGAACTGGCACAGTGTCCAGGAAACGTCTGCTCTTCCTGGAACCGCCCTCAGTCCCTGTGGCTGATCTCAGTTCCTCGTCTCTTCTTTCATGATCCTACCCACAGTTGGTTAGACATGCTCTCCTATTTCTGAATCCTACGTGACAAGGTGCTTTCCTTGCAAAGGTTTTGTATCTTCTAAGTAAATTGGAGGTGTAACTACATATCTACAGTTGGGGCACGCAGGGGCAAGAAAAGGTGCCTAACTCCATGGCCAGTGATATCTCAACTCGGGTGGCCCCAAGCCTCACCTCCCAGTACATATGCTACGGGAATATTTTTCTCTTGTAATTTCAAAGAGGAAGAAAGAAAATAAACATTTGTTTAAAAGTAAATGAATGATCTATATCAGGGTGTGTGAAGGAGATTTATTAACTCAAGTTTGCACCATTTGAGGGACCTTGGTCAAATGTTCAAGGGTTACAGGGCTGAGACAGAACTCTGTGATTCTGGCTGGGACCTCTCATAAACAGTTCAGATATTTTGATTTAAAATGAGATTGTCTTTCTATAGGAAGGAGTTTATCATCATTCAATTTGACCCTTCCTTCAAGCTTCGCAGTCATTTAGTTCAAATAACAGATTAAAATTGCCATTTTCCCATTTATTTCCCCAGGTAGAGTCAATTCAGCAGATTTTTTTTTTTTTTTCAGGGAAATAACATCTCTTCAATCCCACTTGTTAAAAACAAAACAAAACAGAAGAGAAGAAATGAGCAAAACAAATAAAATCCTTCTGGCTTTGTTTGAACCTTCTGTTTCTTATTCTTCTTGATTAAACAATTATCAGCCGGAAGAGTTCTGGATGGTTTGGGTGTGTGTGTGTGTGTGTGTGTGTGTGTGTTTATAACATCATGCAAGGATTTGTTGATGAGGGTTAGAAGTTTGTCTACAATGATCTGGCTATTGCCATTGTTTACTTTCAATCAGAAACAGGGAGAAAACCTTCAAAGAGTATTTAAAGTCTCTGCCAATAAATCCCTAGTTGGTGTGAACATTTAATGAGACGGCATTCAGATTTCTAGCGGCAACAGGGTCCAGAGTCTGCCTGCCAGAGGAGTAGAAATCAGATCAATTACTAGAATCTACTTAGCTAGCCACAGCTCAGATCCACAAAGAGAATATGACCCCCTCCCAAATTATTTGGCTGGTTTTTATTTAGGATCTTGGAATTTAAATGGACCCCCCTGCCGACCTTGTATCTAGGTAGGTTTCCAGCTTCAGAATGGGATACATGCCATGGCAGAGCGGGAAGAGACCTCAGAATCACCATAGTGAAGCAGCTCAAAACTAAGGAACAGACACAGGAGAACAGAGGCAACTTACCAAGAAAGGCACAGCGGTCAGATCTTGACGAACACCTGGATCCTTTCCACCATATCCAGCTGCTTGCTTTTATTCTTTTGTTTAAAGGGCAAAGGACAGCATGTTTACTCTTGTTTCAGGCAGGAACTTACTCAACGTGCCAAAACTTCTCCAAGTCTACCATCAGTTTCTGTTGTTTTAGCTTCCAAATGAACAAAAATAAAAAGCACTTATGTGTAATATCGTGTTACATTCCGTCTCAACGCAGATGCAGGACAAGTACTCCAAAAGCGGCATTGCTTGTTTCTTAAAAGAAGATGACAGTTCCTGGGACCCCAGTGACGAAGAGAGTATGAACAGCCCCTGCTGGGAAGTCAAGTGGCAGCTCCGTCAGCTCGTTAGAAAGGTAGGTAACCTCACCAGGCAACCTCGCCAGCAGGCAGAAAAGGCCGGAAGAATTCCTTAAAGCGAAGGAATCTTTAAGATAATCAAGCCTAGACTCTTCATTCTACAAATAATAAAACTTAGGACCAGAGTGTTTAAGTAATTTTCCCCAAATTCATAGAACTAGGAAAACGGGCCATAACAGCAGAGGGCAGGGCGTGGCTGGCTCCTGGTCTAGTGTTCACACCTGTGCCCCAGACAGCCTCCACATTTAGTCTAACCTTTTTATCTCACATTATGGAAACTGAGGCACAGACAGGGTAATGAACAGAAGGTCACAAAGTCATAAAAGATGTATGGGATTTTTTTTTCGTTCAAAAGATAAAGGAGGCCAAATCCTTATTTATATTCTTCCCACATTGCCAATGTCTGGAGATAAATATTTATTTTTGTATGTATATACAGATGAAGAAAGAGGGAAGTAAGAGGGAAGAAAGAGGGAAAAAAAGGGAAGAGAAGAAAAAGATGCTTTGAGAAATTGAAGGGTTTTTTTTCTCTTAATTTATAGCCAGTAAATAACAAATTACAAAAGGTATCTATTTCTGGATGTAACAAATTACAAAAGGTATCTATTTCTGGACCTCTAGCAGAGACGCCTTAGTTAACTGTTTATTTTTTTTGAATGTGGCAGAGTCAGATCGAATCAAGTTTCTTCTCTTAGGCGCTTCCTTCTTTGTAAGACGGCATTTAATAATATTTGCAGCTGGGCATGGGTCCCAGCACTGTGGGAGGCTGAGGCAGGCAGATCACCCTGAGGTCAGGAGTCGAAGACCAGTCTGACCAACGTGGCAAAACCCCGTCTCTGCTAAAAATACAAAAATTAGCCAAGCATGGTGGTGTGTGCCTGTAATCCCAGCTACTTGGGAGGCTGAGGCAGGAGAATCGCTTGAATCCGGGAGGTAGAGGCTGCAGTGAGATTGTGCCACTGCACTCCAGCCTGCGTGACAGAGCAAGACTTCATCTCAAAAGAAAAACAACTGCTTCTGCTTATGTAAAAATAGCAGATGAGAACATAGCTGTAAATATACTTTAGGGTAAACTATGAACTACACCATTGTTTAAAGCCATAACTGGGGGAATTCCCAGGGTAGGAGGAGAATGTGTTTTTACGCATGTTTGTGAGTCCATTGTTCGGTGCTCAGCATCTGTTTCTCCATAGAAATAGTGTTATATTGGTGGTTAGGGATTGAGTTTATAATCCTGAGCTGTTTTCACAATAGAGCCCCGACATAACGTAAGATGCTATTTCTACGAGAAATGAAACTTGACTTCCGCCTAGGAGTCCTGGAAACATACCTGTCCTGGAAGCATGGCCCCAGGCTGGGGTGCCCCTGCACACAAGCTGTACTGAGGCAGCTGTGATTCCATCACTCCAAATGGCAGCGAGTGTTCAGGGAGCAAGGGCCAGGAGACTAGGAAAAGCCTGGACTGGATAAGGGTCCTGAGGAAGCCGAGAAATGAAACTCCCAAGTCCCTAGGATAGGGGTTTGGGGAGAGTGGAGGTGACTTGTCAGCAGGGGAGAGCAATTCAGAAGGAGGGTGGGAAGCTGGAGACTCGGGAGAGGGGCTGGGTGTCGTGGACAGAGAGCGGGGAGAGAAGAGAAATAGTGGGGACATATCTCTTTCTTGCTATTCCTTGCTTCCCATCTCACATCCTGCTACCAACTAGAATAGAGAGCAGGTGGGAGAGAACACAGAGGGAATAGATGAGAATGTGGGGAAAAATAATTCTCTTTTGTTTTTTAAGGCACATTAGTTGACCAGACTTATTCCAGTAAATGCCCTATGCCCATTTCATACGTTATCTCATTTAATCCTCATGACAGCTCTGAAGAATAAATTATTATTGGCCCCTTAAATATATTTTTAAAAGATTAGTCAGTTGAAGTGTGGACCAGTTACATGACTTGAGCAGTCCCACAGAGCCAGTAATTAAAAGATTTGACTGCAGGGTATCTGGCCATGCTTCTAGTCACTCTTCATTCTGACTCCCACGTGGTGGGAAAGACCCTTTTCTTTTGCCGCTTCTCCTTTCCTCCTTCCTTTCTGTTGCAGAATAAGAGGAAGAGGAAGTAAGAGTGAGAAAGAGAGACACAGATAGAGAAATGAGAGACAGAGAGATAAGACAGGATGCTGCGGCTTCCTCTCACTTCTCCTTCTTGGACGTCAGTGCCCAGGGCACTGATTACAGTGAGTCCACCGCCGCCCCGTTCCCCCGTGATCTGGCATCAGGGCTTCAGGTAGAGGGAGAAGCAGAGAGCTTCTGCTTTGAAGTGGAAGTACAAAGAAGGCAAGTTTCTGACAGAGAGATGGGGAAAGAGGGCAGTGATGGGAGACAGCGGCAGGAGGGACAGAGCTGAATTCAGAAGCCATGGATGAGCCAAGTCAGGGTCTGCCTGCTTAATAGAAAGGTTTGCTTTTCCCTCTTTCTTACTGGTTTTCCCCATTGATTAGTACGAAGGCAGGGGGAGGTCACTAGATATTTAGCAAAGATACGGGATGGTGGGAAAATATCTTTATGTTGAGAATGGCTCAGCCACGTTCTCAGAACGACAGAACGACATGGTGTTGTCAGATCATACCTCCGTAGGCTATGTATGTCTGTGCGCATCCTGAGGCACAGGAAGTGTGGCCTACATCTTGCGGCTTGGGTCTGGCCAATCATTTGAAGCCCCTGGACTCTGTTACTCAGTGTGCTTAACCACACACACATGCACGCACACACACACATACACCCCCACCATGCACAGTGACATGGCGTGGCTGCCACACCTAACAGCCACATTTGGCTGACCTCACAGGGCAGATGGCTTCTTCCCCCTGCACTGCTCCATGTGTGGGCTTTCCAAGACTTCATCCAGCAAAAGAACTTTCCCAGACGGAAGACCATCCCTTGATTGCTGTGCAGGGGCAGCTATCTCAATATTCATCCCAGCTCCCACCCCTCCCCTTACAGACCCTATGCTTGACCAAACTGAAAGCTTCCTAGATTGGTAATGCATGAAGAAATTTTCCATTAGACATCAGCAAGAAGAGCCATAGGATTCTAGAGTCAGTTTAAATTTTTAGGGAAATTAACAAGCTTTATTCGATAATATTTGCAGATGATTTTGAGAACCTCTGAAGAAACCATTTCTACAGTTCAAGGTATTATCTTTTTTGTTGTTATTTTAATTTTCTACTGTGAACTTCATGACAGGTTGTGAATAGTTCCCCATGCTCGTCTCTGATCTCATCCACTCATCCATCCTCTGAGCTGCTGCTCGGTACCTCAAGCCACTTGTCAATTCTACTTCTCTCTTTACATAGGCAGCTAGGAAGCTCAGAACCAAATCTGGGGCTCACCTATGGTCAGACCTTTATTTCAGCTTCCTCTTATTTTTCCCCATGAATTTTCCCTTCCCTCTTACTTCTTCACTTACTTTTATCTAACTTCTAATGTGTTAGAAACAAGCCATCTTAAATCCTTTCTGGGAAATGGAGAGAAATAAATGAAGTTCCTTAAAGGTACCCTTTTTTTGTTTTCAGGTCACCACTGGGCTCCAGATCTTTCTTTACAAAGGCCTCCTGCTCCATCATCCCTTCCCCAGCAATCTTTCTACCCACCCACGATCCTCCTCCTCTGGTCTCCATACTACAGCACGCCCTTGTTTATGGATAGCAGCCTTCTCTCCATCTACCTCTCTGTTCAGTACTATTGGCCAGGCTGGCTTCTTTAGCCTTCCGTCTGGCACTTCCTCATTCTTCACAGCTCGTGTAATTGTCATCTCTTCAGATAGGGCTTCCCTGGACACCTATCTAAGTAAGTTCCCTGTACTCTGATATTTTTATCACACGCACCTTGTTCATTGCCTTCCAGGAAGGAGCAAGGATAAATCTGTTATTCTTTTCCAATGCAATAAACTTCCTCATCACTCGGCACCCCTATTTTCCTTTATTAAATACACTTTCTTAAATATAAAGCACAGGACCTGATCCTTGGGTTAAAGCATTCTTTCCCATCATTTCTCCAAAGGCAAAAGCAGTAGTCAGAATGTTGAACACTCCACCTGTTCAGATGAGGCATACCAGATTAATGGTCTCCAGCAGTAGATGCATGCACTGTTTTCAGTGTTGGAAGAATAAAATTCTTTTTTATTCATCCCAATAAGGTGAAACACTACCCTGTATACCAAAATATATCCATGATACCTTGATATACGTATTTGCAAGTTTCTTTTCTGGGAGATGCTTGCTATAACCACTAGGAAATTTCCTCTTTTAAAAATTTGCTTTTAAATCTAACTTTTCCTGCCCATATCCTTGAAATGACCTTAACAAATCAGTTGCCCAGGCTGGAGTGCAGTGGTGCGATCATGGCTCACTGCAGCCTCAACTTCCTGGCCTCAAGGAATCCTCCCACCTCAGCTTCCCAAATAGTTGAACGACAGGCACAGGCCAACACATCTGGCTGATTTTTCTATTTCTTGTCAGACAGGGTTTCACTATGTTGCCCAGGCTAATCCCAAACTCTTAGGTTAAGTGATCCACCCATCTCGGCCTGCAAATTGTCACTTTCTAATTCATATTTATTAATATTTTCCTTAGAAGTCTGTAAGTTCCTTGAGGACTTGATCAGTGAAATCAGTGGTTATTTGTAGCCCTTTGGGGTGTAGTGCCTTACCCTAGCACTATCTGTTTGATAAAAGAATATAATTTATCTTACAACCAATGTAAGCACACTTGGGACGTTTGAGCTGATTTTTTAGAGAAAGACATTTGTTACATTTCTATTTTTTAAGGCTATTCCAAAATACTTTGGATGGTGGTCAATAAATGTTATTCGTTTATTACGATCTAGTGAATTCACAGCTTATATGCTCGAATATTCAATATCATGACCAGAATGTCAATTCCTAAGATTATCATTTTTTTTGAGTGGAAAATTCCCATTCTTTTTTTTTTTTTTTTTTTCATTCTGGCTGCAGGATGACTGTTGGAGGCCAGTTTGTAGCATTCAAAGGCAATCGTTACCATTGTTACTGCTTTACAATCTGCAGTAGTTAGCATAGAGAAAGGAAAATTGAGATGACAAAAATTGGGACCACTCTGTTTATTTCTGTTTGTAATTCAAGGAGGAAATTTGCCAATACATGGTTATTTGCACACTTTAACTCACGAGGATTATTACAAATCTACAGTTTTTTTTTAATTTATATTTTTGGAAAAGGGACGGCATCTTCACTTTGTTGTATTCATTTTGCACCTTACCTGTGAGGCCCTGATAAATTATAATCCATGTTACTGCTTATCCTTCCCCTGTAAAGTACTTCTCAAGTTGATTATAAGCTGAAGGAGTTTGATCATAATATCAAAATGTTATTTTTGTGAAAACTCATAGAACTTTGGAAGCCCAGTATGCTTACAATGGCTGATTGACAACACCTATGAACAGCACTGTATTTGAGAACTCGTTTGACAAGTGTTGATGATTCTTTATCGTTTCTCTTTCAGAAAAACAACGAGGTGTTTCTCCCGAAGTGAGAGAAAGAGGTCCTCAGAGAGTAGCAGCTCACATAACTGGGACCAGAGGAAGTGGCAACACGTTGCCTATTCCAAGTAAGAGAAACAGTAAATAAGTGACTTAAGGAAAAACAATGGAAGGATTGCACCAAGTAACATCTTTTTTTAAAGAATCTTACCTGAAGTGTTTATATGGCTAGCTACAAAATGCTTAATATTAATCAGATCTCAGACTGACTGTTTTCAGATGCAAGATTATAGACAAATAGTTTGATTATTGCCATGACATAACTGGCCTCAGGAAAATTACAAAGTGGGAGAATTTTGTCTTTGCAGTTGCCAGTATCTCGTTTTTCCTTTTCCTTCTTTGGAGTAATTTTTTTTCTCTCTTATGATTACTTCTTCAGTTGCTTTGTTCTTGTCTTCTTTGCTCGCCATCCAACCTCCCTTCTCTTTAAAGGTTCTATTTACTCCCACTATGATGCTCCTAGTGGCATTTATATTAAATTACGTCATAGGAGATTGCCAATATTTGACCATATTTTACTTACACAAATGTCAGTTTCATATATTTTAACCATATGTGTTACATCTAATTTTTATCTAGGCAGAATACATGTTGATACGGTGCTGTGTAATACTGTGCACGTGCGTGGGTCTTTTTTTCTTTTTGAGATGGAGTTTCGCTTTTGTCACCCAGGCTGGAGTGCAGTGGCGTGATCTTCGCTCACTACAACCTTCATCTCCCAGGTTCAAGCGATTCTTCTGCCTCAGCTTCCCGAGTAGCTGGGATTACAAGCATGCACCACCATGCCCAGCTAATTTTTGTGACCACACCAGGCTGGTCTCGAATTCTTGACCTCAGGTGATCCACCCGCCTCAGTCTCCCAAAGTGCTGGGATTACAGGTGTGAGCTACCACACCTGGCCTCTGTGCATGGGTCTTACAGTGTAAATACCTCAGTTGGAATCACAGCTCCTCTTCACCTAGATGCATGTTTGGAGCAAATTACTTAAACCAGTCAAGCTTCAGTTTCTTCATATGCAAAACTGAGGTAATTCTTAACTCATAAAATGAGGCAAAATGTCTGATCTATTGTGAGTACTCAAGAAATGCTCACTTTTATTTTTATGAGAGGCTTTGTCCTGTAAATTTGTCTAAAAATATTTCAGACATCAATTAATAAATTAAAAAGGTTGTCTGGGGGGTTTTTGGTTGGTTGGTTTAGTTTCTTCTGGGTAGTTGCCTTCTTGACATCCTTCATGTTTTATAAATGATTGGCATGTTCTGCCTACAAGTGAGGGGATTATTATGATGTTATGTTTGCTATTCATCAACAAATATAATTAATTTATACTCTAGAAAAGCCAAATTTTGCACCAATCATGAAGATAGGCCAAAAGTCTAAAAGAATATCATTTTGGAAGGCTCACTTTTCATTCAAAATCTTTGGGAGCTAAAGATTCAAGGATCTGACGATCTTTAAATCTAGGCTCCTTTGCCAACCTTGTGTCTCTATGATTTTGGACTAGCGATGCCTTCTGCTTGGATGTGCCTTTGACTCTGGAGAGCTGAGAAAGATCAAGGAGGGACCCAGAGAGTCCAAAAGGAATGCCAAGAACCTCTGAGATCTAGGCCTAAAAAGTAGATACATTTATTTTGGTTTCTTTCTGGATCGTCTACTTAAGTTCACCAGCACAAGAAGGGAGTGAGAGATTCAGGGCGGAAGTTCTGCCCAGGATTAACCATTACTATCTGAGTGGGCCATCCCCTGTGCTACCATTCTAAGTGTGACAAATGTGGCATAAGCAGCTGACAAGGTATAAAAAGATAAGGGACTCCCAACAATTCCCAATGTCACAATGATACAGGAGCCTCCTGATTTCTATATGGCTACAATTTATAATCCACATGAGATTGAAGGAGGAAGAAGTTTGATATTAGGCTGAAATCCCTGGCAATCCCAACAAAAATATAGATTAGCCAAAGCTGCAAAGAAGCTCCTTGCTTTGCTACAAACTCCCTTCTGTTAACTCTGTTTCTCTCTAAATTTCCTTCAGACTCCAAGAATGAAAAGGCTCTGGGCCGCAAAATAAACTCCTGGGAATCATCAAGGAGTGGACATTCATTCCTGAGCAACTTGCACTTGAGGAATGGCGAGCTGGTCATCCATGAAAAAGGGTTGTATTACATCTATTGCCAAGTCTACTTTCGATTTCAGGAGGAAATCAAAGAAAACAGAAAGAACGACAAACAAATGGTCCAGTATATTTACAAATACACAAGTTATCCTGACCCCATACTGCTGATGAAAAGTGCTAGAAATAATTGTTGGTCTAAAGATGCAGAATATGGACTGTATTCCATCTATCAAGGGGGAATATTTGAGCTTAAGGAAAACGACAGAATTTTTGTTTCTGTAACAAATGGGCACTTGATAGACATGGACCATGAAGCCAGTTTTTTTGGGGCCTTTTTAGTTGGCTAACTGACCTGGAAAGAAAAAGCAATAATCTCAAAGTGACTTTGAGTTTTCAGGACGATATACCAAGAAGCTATTCCAAACAAACTAACAAAAAAACAACAAAAAGCTCTGTGCAATCTGAGTAGAGCAGCAACAACCAACAACACTCTACAATACACACTGTTCTGAAAGCGACTTACTTATCCCAAGAAAATGAAATTGCCAAAAATCTTTCAGAGTTCTACCTCATATCAGTTTTCTACCAGAAATCTAAAAGACACAGCTTCCAAACATGAATGCAAGTAATTAACGTTTTTTTGTCTTTATAATCTATTCCTTGCGAAGATTGCAGAAGAAAGAGCAATAATCCATCTTTTCTTTTTCTTTCTCTCTCTCTCTCTCTTTGTGTGTGTGTGTGTGTGTGTGTGTGTGTGTGTGCGTGTGTGTGTGAAATGGAGTCTTGCTCTTTCACCAAGCTAGAGTGCAGTGGTGTGATCTCAGCTCACTGCAACTTCCACCTCCTGAGTTCAAGCGATTCTCCTGCCTCAGCCTCCTGAGAAGCTGGGGTGACAGGTGCGTGCCACCACGCCCAGCTAATTTTTGCATTTTTAAGAGAGACGGGGTTTCACCATGTTGGCCAGGCTGGTCTCGATCTCTTGACCTCATGACCCACCCACCTCGGCCTCCTAAAGTGCTGGGGTTACAGGTGTGAGCCACCGTGCCTGGCCAACGAGCCATCTCTCTTTTTTTTTTTTTTTTTTTTTTTTTTTTTGCGACGGAGTTTCCCTCTTGTTACCCAGGCTGGAGTGCAATGGTGCGATCTCGGCTCACCGCAACCTCCGCCTCCTGGGTTCAGGCAATTCTCCTGCCTCAGCCTCCTGAGTAGCTGGGATTACAGGCACGCGCCACCATGCCCAGCTACTTTTTTGTATTTTTTAGTAGAGACGGGGTTTCACCATGTTGACCAGGATGGTCTCGATCTCTTGACCTCGTGATCCACCCTCCTTGGCATCCCAAAGTGCTGGGATTAGAGGCTTGAGCCACCGCGCCCGGCCTGAGCCATCTCTTAAATAGTGTATCACAGCAGTAGCCTCCAGGTTTCCTTAAAGGACAGCATTCCTAAAGCAAAAGAGAAAGCGTCACCACTAAAAGACCCTGGTCTTGGAGGCCGTCCGCTATCAAGTTATGCAGTGTGAATTGGGAGTCTATTGTGCAAAATTTCGCAGGGTTATCTCTTGGGGATTTGGTGAAAATAAGAAAATTCTACTCAAACTACTAACACTGTGGTTTAAAAAAGTAATGAACGTCATGTTCAGTGGACAGGGAACTTGTTTTGAATGGTTTGTGCTTTTCACTACCAAAAGTCAGGCTGGTCAAAAGCACTGATGATGTTTTTTGATAAAGGACTCTACAGTGAGCAGTCGACTGATAAGAAATCGGAGAATTCGGTTTCATGTGAGCGGCAGCAGAAGAAATGGCAAAGTGAAAATGACAAACACAGGCAAATAAGAGCCGGCGAACCATCCCGTACCACACCTTTGCGAGGTCGAACGTCAGTATCTGCTATGCTGTATATATGTACGTCTGCTTCAAGTTGCATCATTTATTTTGACCTCGCATGAAGAATTAGTTACTTTTATCTTCCAGAATCATGACAAAAAACATTTCATTTCATCATTTAGACTAACCGGTTGGAGCATTTGTCTCATCTCCTCCTGCTGTTTGAGCATATGACCAGAGAGGACAAACACACTGTAGCTCAAACCTTCACTTAAATGTGTTCGGATCAAATAGTTTTTTTTTCAAAAAGTCTAATTGAAATTTACAACATACTACGGACACCTGACACTTCTAACTCCACTGACTTTATTCCGTAACACCAGTCAAGTTCTTCCATACCAACAAATGGACTTGTTTTTCTGCTTTTGAAAATCTCCTCACTATGATGTAGTCATCCCTTGGTATCTGCAAGGACTTGGATCCAGAATCCCTGCACAACACCAAGATCCATGTATGCTCAAGTCTTTTATATAAAGTGCTTTTGCATATAACCTATGCACATCTCCCCATATACTTTAAATAATCTCTAGATTGCTTACAATACCAAATACAATGTAAATGCAATGTAAAAATTGTTATTTTGTATTTTGTATTTGTATTTTTATAGTTGCATTGTTATCTTTTAATTAATTTTTTCCCTCATGGTTTTGATCCAGAGTTGAATCTGTGGTTGTGAACTCTAAGGATAGGGAAGGCTGACTGTGTAAGCCTTCATATCAGGGAATATTTAACCTTGTTTACAACTCTGTCTCCAGTACTTAGAACATTCACTGGAGCATCTGCCTTCCACAAAAAAATACTTGTGAATATATTTTGTGCTCACACAAAATATATTTGCAAATAAGTGAATACCAATCCATACAGAAAAATAAAGAAGTATTCCCTACATTATTCCCTATGCCAAAATAATGTGGAAGAATTTTAAAAGTTCACAGTGAAGATCTTTTTAACCAAGATTTAAAACTCAAAGAAAATAACTATTTTTGATAACATATAATATGAAAATTGAAAAAATAATTTTTTAACTAATCAAATTGTGTATGTTTTTTTAAATAAAACTCTGTATTATTTAGTGTCGTTCTTGTTTTAGTGCTAACTTGTTTTATAATATCAAGACTACTAAAAATGGGGGGAAAGACTTCTAATCTTTTTTTCATAGTATCTTTTATCTGACACATATTACAGAAGAAAGAAATTGCTTACTTTTAATTTAATATGATCAAATATATTAGTCTTTTTACTTATGGCTAATACTTCTGTTCTGAGTTGAGTTTTGCTATGTCCTCAGGATGGGCTGTTAATACAATATAACTGGTATTCTTTTTTTTTTTTTTTTTTTTTTTTTTTTTTTTTTTTTTGAGACAGAGTCTTGCTCTGTTGCCCAGGCTGGAGTGTAACAGTGAGATCTTGGTTCACTGCAAACTCTGCCTCCCAGGTTCAAGCAATTCTCCTGCCTCAGCCCCACCAAGTAGGTAAGATTACAGGCACCTGCCACCACACCTGGCTAATTTTTGTATTTTTAGTAGAAAAGTGTTACACCATGTTGGCCAGGCCAGTCTTGAACTCCTGACCTCAGGTGATCCACCTGCTTCGGCCTCCCAAAGTGCCGGGATTACATGTGTGAGCCACAGCACCCAGCCAACCGGTATTCTTATAAGAAGAGGAAAATTTGGTTACAAAGACACACAGGGAGAACTCTAGTGCCTACAGACACAGAATGGAGTGAAGTAGCTGGGAGCCAAAGGAATACCCAGGATTGACAGCCATCAGCAGAAGCTCAGAAGAAACAAGGAAAGATTGATGTTACACAGTTCTCAGAGGACACATGGCCTTGCTGACACCTTGATTTCAGACCTCCGGGTGCCAGAACTGTAAAAGAGTAAATTTCTGTTGTTGAAAGCCCCTGCTTTGTGGCGTTTTGTTCCAGCAGTTGTAGGAATCTAATATAGCTTTTCATTCTATGTTCAAGAAATCTTTTGCACTATCATACGGATATCGCCATGTATTTTTTCTAAAAAAATTTAAAGTTTGGCCTTCATGGTTTGATAATGTCCTTCAACTGTAATTTAATTTGAGTATAAGGTGAGATAGGAATCTAATTATATCTTTCACCATATAAATAGCCAGTTGTCCAACACTGTTTATTGATCAGTCCCTCATTTTCCCCGCTGATTTTAAGGTCTCTTTTATCATACACCAAGCTCTCGTGGTTCTGTTTCTGTGGTTATTCTTCACCTATTGTTCTAGTTGTCCATTCCTGCTCTTACACCATGTTTTTATTAAAAAATTATAGTAGGCGAGGCGTGGTGGCTCACACCCATAATCCCAGCACTTTGGGACCCACTGAGGTGGGCGGAGCATGAGGACAGGAGTTCAAGACCAGACTGGCCAACATGGTGAAACCCGTCTCTCCTAAAAAATACAAAAGTTAGCTGGGCATGGTGGTTCATGCCTGTAATCCCAGCTACTTGGGAGGGTGAGGTAGGAGAATTGCTTAACCAGGAGGCAGAGGTTGCAGTGAGCTGAGATCACATCACTGCACTCCAGCTTGGGCTAGAGAGTGAGACTCTATCTCGAAAAAAAAATATATATATGGTAAACCATACTTACTATGGAGTTAATGATTTTAATCCTTTTTGAGTGTACAATTGAGTGGCATTAAGTACCCTGACATTGTGCCACCATTACCACTCTTCATCTCCAGAAAGTGTTCATGATCCCAAAATGAAATGCTACATATATTAAACAATAACATCCCATTACCCACTGGTAAATAATCTGAGCTAGTCTCAGCTTTTGCTTTTCCCTGTGAATTTAAGAACCATCTAGAAGTTGTATATGTGCAGAAACACACACACACACCACACACATGTGCAATCTTTTAGAGATTTTGATAGAATTGCATTGAATTGCTGGAGGTTGTATTTATTTAGTTATTTTTGACATCATGAATGGGATCTATGTCTTTTAATGACATTTTAAAGCAGCTGATGCAGGTAGTAGGTATTAACTTTGAGAAACAGTGCAACATAGTGATTGAGAGCATTGTCTGAGGATCCGGATTGATGGAGTTCAAATCCTAGTTTTATCATTGACTTGAACAGATTAGTAAATTCTGTGTCTCAGTTTCCATCTCTGCAAAACGAGGTGGTTACAGTAGTCTTGTCATACGATTAATGTGAAGATTAATAGAGCTTACACTTAACACACTTAGCACAAAGTCTGGTACATAATAAACGCAAATAAAATTTTTAATTATTGGCCAGTCACAGTGGCTCACACTTATAATCCCAGCACTTTGGGAGGCCAAGGCAGGCAGATCACTTGAGCTCAGGAGTTTGAGACCAGCCTGGGCAACATGGCAAAACCTCATCTCTACAAAAAATACAAAAATTAGCCAGGCATCATGGCATGGGCCTGTGGTCCCGTGACTCAAGAGGCTGGGGTGGGAGAATCATTTAAACCCAGGAGGTCAAAGCTGCAGTGAGCTGTGATCACATCACTGCACTCCAGCCTGGGCTACAGAGAGAGACCCTGTCTCAAAAAAAAAAAAAAAAAATTTAACCG